AATACTTTTAAGAATGTTATTTACATAAGCACATTATTATTTAGAAGATTCTTAAAATGTAAAATGCTGTCAAGCCTCCATTTTAATATATTAAAAGATCTTAATTTAAGAGCTTCAGACAGGATTTTCATCATTCAGGAAACAAAACTTCTGACCCTGGAGAAAATATCATGTAAATAACAACTCCAAATCACAACTCCAAATATTGACAATAACTCCTATTGGAGTTATACTCACTGCTTGCCTATTCAAGGGCTACAGAACCGGGAGGCAGACAGATCAAGCTTCCTTTGTGCTTTACAAGTTTAATCAATCAAAATAAAAGTTATCAGTGAAAAATTGTTTCTTGCTTCCTGTGTCTAAGACAACTGTAAGTTCAGACTGTCTCCAAACTCAGTCACTGCTCTTTACACACACAAATGGAAACATTATAAGATATCATAAAATTAAAAGACAAATCATAACTAATTCTACTCTGACAAATTTTGACCTCATAGAGGACTTCAGGAAAGCTGCAAAATGCTAACCTTGACCTTCAGGATGTACTAAAATCAGGGATAATCAGTTGATAATCATGATGCTTTCCTGGGAAAGAATAGAAGTTCTCATCCAACGGGTCTTCTAAAACCTACTGAGAATCTGATCCAGACTCAAATCCTTAACCTTGCTTAGAAATTAAACCTGATTACCGCAGATGTCAAGATGAATAGGTTGATGTCAAGATGAGTAGTTGTAGATGTCAAGATGAATAGGTTCAATTTTTGGTTTAACGACAGATTTCTGGTGTCATATGCTCACTTTTCTGTGTCTTGGTTCTCAAACAGAAAATGAATACATAACAAATCCTTTCCTTGCATTTTATCTACTACAACTCTGGAACAAAAAAATGGCCTAGAAAGATACCTTCACAAAAGCATCGTTGTGCCAGGGTATTTTTAACTGCTGTAAAATAAACAGTAAAAGTCATGTCTGTTAATGCAATGAGAAATGAAGTCATACCATTTATTTTACTGGGATATGTTTGTAGTTGTTAAGATTGCAAGTGTTTATTTTAGATCTAGAATAATCTCCTGCTTTCACTTTTGCATTTGGAAATACTTGTGAAATATGTAACCTAGTTTGCTCAATGTTCATCTGGTGGTTTTTTGTATTGCAAAATTTAGTCTCAAGTCCTTAGAAATTTTGTAAGACAGCTTGACGATTTTTTTTTGCTGTGGTTTATTTGTTTGTTTTGTTGTTTTTATATGTTTGGTTTCCATAAAAATCTTTCATGACGTGACAGGGAAGTATGTGAAACTATTTGAAAAGTATATGCTGAATATGTACCAATTTAAAGATGAATCTAGTGTGCACTTAGCTGCAGTCTGGAATAACGTGTAATATGTCCACAGTCTAGTCTAAATCATCAGAATGATCAGAAGATCATTTCATTTTACTGGCATATTTCTTTAGCTTATCATATTATATAAAATTCAACAGTGTTCAGCACTGTTGAGAGCAACCTTAAAATCGCTGCTATCTTAGCCAGCTTCTTTGATACTGAGATGAGCTTCTAAGACAAAGAATTTTAACATGATGCTGTAAACAGAATGTCAGAAACATCCAGCAAAATTGAATATGCTGATGCAGAACTACTGGTGCTAATTTCACCTTGCACATCATCAGACAGATTTATTTATTTATTTATTTATTTATTTTTGCCATGACATTTACAACTCTTGATTTATTTGTCTGACCTCATAATAGGAAAATACTTATTAAACAACTATAAAATATCTCCATGATTCTACATTAAATAGTCAATAAGAACATGATTTAGAAAAATAAGTATTTCTTCATTAACCCTTGCTAGTAGCAAGCATTTCCAGGGTTAGCAATTTATGGTTACCCTCCAAAAATCTTCAGACTGCCAGAAAACTGAAGAAAATGATTGCATCCTTCATTTCACTTCTAACATTAAAATCTATTCTATTCAACAGCAACTGTAGAAACAAAACTAATGCATAGGCAATTAGAAAATCTACATATTAAGCAAGTCTGTCAATCCTGAAGAGACCTAGGTGATAGTCTAGGTCTCCAAAATTTGACAAAATTTGGTAAGGCTTAAGGTATATTCTCATCATTACACAGAAACTTTATAGTTACTCATGCTATATTTAAAATGCCATAGTTTGTCTAAGGTAAATGAAATCTTGTATATTAGTTGTTTCTTTTCACCAGCTATTGGATAATAATGAAGAACTCCCCTTCATTATTAGACTGAGAGGGTAGTGTTTATTTATTTATTTGTTTGTTTGTTTGTTTGTTTTAATTTGTTTGTTTGTTTTTAGTAACATGAGTTTAAAGCATACGTGGACTTCATCACTATCTGTAATCAGCAATAAACTTCCTCTAGACTAAAGTCTATTTATGGCTTTCAAAGAATAAAAGAGATGTGGAGCGAATAAGCTGCTTATAATTTATAGAAGTTTCCTAAATACGACTGTCAATCACCAAATTGCTAAAGGAATGCTCTTACTCTTCTAAAACACTTTGTAAATCAGATGTCAAGCACTCATATAAAGTAAACTTGCTAATTCAAGATTTCATAGAATTACAGAATAATAGAATATCACAAGTTGGAAAGGACCAACAAGGATCATCGAGTCCACCTCCTGGCACCATACAGGTCTACCCAAAAATACAGACTGTATAGAGACTATAGACTGTATATGTCCAAATGCTTCTTGATCTCCAACAGGATTGGTGCAGTGACTACATCCCTGGGGAGCTTGTTCCAGTGCACAACAACCCTCTCGGTGAAGAACTTTTTCCTGATATCTCCCGTCACAGTTTGACTCCATTCCCTTGGGTCCTATTGTTGGTCACCAGACAGAATAGATGAGTGCCTGCCCCTCTGCTCCCCCTCATGAGGATACTGTAGACTGCAGTGAGGTCGCCCCTCAGCCTTCTCTTTTTCCAGGCTGAAGAGACCAAGTGACCTCAGCTGATCCTTTTATGTCCTCCCCTCTAAGCCCTTCACCATCTTTGTAGCCCTTCCCTGGACACTCTCCAATAGTTTCACATCCTCAAATGAAAAAGAACTGCTCACATAAATTTTATACATAGTTTGAATAAAAAATATAATACATTAAGTTTCTTTTCCTTCTATGTCTTTATATATTTATTTTAAAGTCTCTTGCAAATATTTTGCAAATACTGTAATAATTCGAGATAAGAATTTATTTTGCTGTCATACTAGAATGTTTTCAGAGATTTTATTTATTTATTTATTTATTTATTTATTTATTTATTTACAGTATCATATCTTACCTCTCCCTATTAACTTTTATTGATATACTCACAACCTCTCTCTCTTTCATCTTCTCCCACTCTGTCCTGGTTTCAGTTAGGAAAGAGTTAATTTTCTTCCTAGTAGCTGGTAGAATGCTATGTTTTGGATTAGGATGAGAAGAGTGCTGATAACACCCTGATGTTTTAATTGCTGCAGAGCAGTGCTTACACCAAACCAAGAACTTTTCAGCTTCTCACTCTTTCCTGCCAGAAGGGCAGGCTGGGGGTGCAACAAGAACTGGGAGGGGACAGACACAAACTAGCTGACCCAAACTAGCCAAAGGGGTATTCCATGCTATCTGACATCATGCTAAACAATATATAGGAGTGGCTAGCCAGGGTGGGAGGGTCAGACTGCTCATGGTTAGGCTGGGCATTAGTCAGCAGGTGGTGAGCAATTGCATTGTGCATCACTTGTTTCATACACATTATTCTTCTTCGTATTATTATAATAATTATTGTTATTATTGTTATTATTATTATTGTTATTATTATTTTTCTGCCTTAATAAACTGTCTTTATCTCAACTCACAGGCTTCACTTTCCCATTTTTCTCCCCCATCCCAGAGAGGGAAGGGAAAGTGTGAGCAAACAGCTGTGTGGTGTTTAGCTGCCATCCGGGTTAAACCACAACACACTCTCTCCCATTTCTATTTTTCCCAGGGTTTCTTAATCGTTGTTCAAAGAGAACAACAGAGTCATGGAGAAAGTATACTGTGTTATACTGTCTGTTAAAAAACAGATCTGGCAAACTGAAAACCATCCTGCCTTTATCTTCTCTGTGAGCTCACACTTGTCATAGAAAAGTATTATTTGTTGACATTTGCCAGGGAAGAATACCAGGGGAAATAAAAATATTCCAAGTTTAACTGAGATACAAGAATTAATCAATAATAAAATAATAAAACCCTGACATTACAAGGATGGGAGGTATGTTTTAACATGGTTCCCTCCATATATCTTATGATATATTTATACTAAGAATTTCTTATCATAAATCATTTCTGTGTGGGCATAGTTCTTTTACTTTGCAGTTTAACACTGATCATCTTAGCTCCTACCATGTAAAGGAAAATTTGTGGGACTCCCTCATAAACCGTCTTTGGACAATCAATTCTTTGTGCAACCACAGTTGTCTCCTATGTTTTATTCCATCAGAAAGGAATAACCACTTAATTAGTGCACAAATAATGTTCCTTTTTCTTTTTTTTCCCCTACCAGTTTGTTTTCCACATTAAACAGTTTACTGTTTATTTTCTTAATCACTGAATATATGTATGTATGCTCATGTTACATTTTTTTCGACATTAATCTTTATAATATAAAAGGAGATAATTTTATAATATAAAAGCTGTTTTTTTTTTTTTCCTTTTTTTTTCTTTTTATAATATAAAGACATTATCAGTGGGTGCTTTTATGTGTGTAGAAAGAATGACACCTTAGAATGTAATGTCACTAAGTCTGGAAAACTATATTCCAAAAAGATGCAATTACATTCTGATTTTAAGACATGTTTAAATGAGAAATTGAATTTCCCAATATCAGAAACCAAATTGTTCTGCAGTGCCTTATAAACTGCATTTTAAATTTTTGTTTGTTGTCAGAAATCAGCAAGCTTCATAAAATTCATCTGAAATGAACCTCCAAATTTGTAAGACCTCACTTACTTGGTGTTGAGGCTGTTCAGCTCTTCTGCAGTGGGTGCCAACATTCTGTCCATCAAATTCAATGTCTAGACTTTAAATGGGCAGGAAAGCAGGTGCCTTTTGCTCACACCTGGAACAAAATATTGGGTCAGTTAGGTTTTGTATTTTCATAGTCTTCCAAGCGCAGTAAGATATTACTTTGCCTGTCTTATTAGGGGTGCATCACAGAATTACATTCTTATTTTCTCCTTGAATGTGTGATGTAATATGTATATAAACAAACGTTGCAAAGAATATGTTATTTTGATCTTCTTATATATATTTTTTTCTGTTTCATTCATTTTTAACAGTTAAATTTAAATAAAATATTTATTTATATAAGGTATATATTTATAAGTGCTGGTACTGAAGACAGTCAACTCAGAATATCAAGCAGTAGAAAAAATAAGTGTTTCAGAGAACAGTTATTTAAGTGTACACAAACAATGAAGTTTAAAGTTTATTTAGATTAATACAATTGTTTCCATTTTCTTCACCTTACATTGGAATATGGTCTTCAAAATTTTGAGAAACTATTTTTAAAACAGAAGGCTAATGATAAAATGAGCCACTTCTCAGCTGCTGTCACCTCTGAAAAGGCATAAAAGGAAAGTCACAGATAACTGAAAATATATTTATGTATATATCCATATACAAAAAAAGGGGGAAAAAGAAGATTCAAAAAGTAACAGACTAGTCAGTATCACTCTAGTCTACAGCAAAAATATAGGAACAGGTCCTCGTGCAAGCTATTTGCAAGCACAAGGACAAGGAGAAAATGCCAACTCATTTACCGAGTGTAAACTGAGTAAATGGCCAGTGGGTTACATGAGAGCTGTGAAAGCCACAAAGTTTCTCAGGCATCCTAATAAAAGTTAGTACAATTAACAATGAAAGACAAACCTATATATTTATTAAATATTTATTCCAGTTACATATACAAAATTTTACAGCTTCCACACAGTTTCTTACGCATATTAGAAAAGACAGAGAGATATATGTAGACAAATGTGTGGAAAAACACAGATGGAAAATAACTGTCTTTCATTATATCTTCAATACAAATATATATTTATACACAATAGTATATATTATAATAGTATATATTATTATATATATACAATCCTATCTAGGTGATGTGATATAGCTATAGCTCAAATTAAAAAAAAAAAAAAAAAAAAAGAAAAAAAAAAAAGCCAAACAAACTGAAATCACCATCATATTACAGCTCTCAGGGGTTTTACAACACAGTTTGCAGTTTTCTACATAGAGCATAAATTTTCACAAACTCTCTACCTTATATTGAGATTGTATACTATGCTATCACCAGGAACAGGGTAGCAATGTTCCAAAAATCACAGATAGTTTATAAAAGTTTCAGATCTTTGTACACCAACATTCCTTGCTGTACAGGTGTAGTGGGTTTATGTGTCAAGGATTTGTTAGTGGGGGGAGGCATAGGGGTTGCGGGGGCATAGGGGTGGCTTCTGTGAGAAGAATCCAGAAGTTCCCCCATGTTAGATAAGGGCCACACCACTGGCCAGAGCCAGGCCAATACAATAAGTGCTGTTGTTTGTGCGTCTGTGAGAGAATATTTAAGACAGAGAAAAAAGAAAAAAGAAAAGAAAAAAAAAAAAAACCTGCTGAGGAACAGCAGCTGGGAGAGAGAGAAAGTGAGAAACAGAGGAGTGAGAAACAGCCCTGCAGGTGCCAAGGTCAGTGAAGAAGGAGGGGGAGGGGCTCTCCAGGTGCGGGAGCAGAAGTCTCCTGTGACCTGTGGAGAGGACCGTGGTGAAGCAGGCTGTCTCCCCACAGCCTATGGAGTACCATGGTGGAGCAGGGTTCCACACTGCAGCCCATGGAGGAGACCACGGTGGATCAAGTGGATATGACCTGAAGGAGGCTGTGGAGGACCCCCACCAGAGCAGGCCTTGGGCCAGACCTGTAGCCCATGGATTATTGGATTAAACCAATTTTATCTCTCTCTATATATGTTATTTTTAACTAGCATTGTAATTTTCATCACTGTATTCTTTCTTCTCCTAAAGCTGCAGCATGAACACTTAGCAAAATAGTTTTGTATGAAGAATAATTATTACAATTCAGAGAAAACACTCTATGCATGAATTATTAAGCAAAACAACAAAGCCTGAATTCCTATTTCAAGTTCAAAATTTAACTTGATTTTACCACAGAGTGTGTATCTGTTGAAGTCATGTTACTAAAATAAATACATATAAGAGTATAACTGTTCACCCAAATGGTAATTTTCTCCTTGGGAATAAGCAAGTAGGTACCGGTATACTAAAGAAAAGAATTTGAGATTGATAATACATCAAGTTTATATATGAGTTCAATTTTTGCAGTCCAAATTTTAATATAATGTGAATATAGAGAAAAACTAAATATTCCATGAGTAATTAAAAAGCAAAATCAAACCCATAAAATTTCAATAACACTTGTTCCATTCTATAGCTGGTCAATGAATTTGTTAATATATTATAAAAAGCCAAAATAAGCCTATAGAACTAATATGAAGTTATCTTCTGACAGTTGAAAGCTTCTTCTACTCTGTTCTAATTCAGATGAAAAAAAAAAAAAAAAAAAAAAACAGTCTCTTCACCTTAGACACAAGACAATTCAATGCAAAGTCTACAGCATTACTTGGACACTTTGCAAATACATACTGATATGATCAGTAAATTCATTCTCTCAGACACTTTTTGCTACTCTTTTGATCGGCATAATCTTTAATGAAAGTTATGCACATGTAGAAATACCCTTAAAAGGCAAGTAAATTTAATGCAATAGGGCTAATGTTTTGAATATAGATAGCCTTGAACATGGAAGAGAACTGAACTGGAACTTCTTTCTAGTTGATATAGTATTTTATTAATTTTGACAGATAGTATTAAAATAAATACATAAATAAATAAAAAATAATAAAAATGAAGACTTCTTCAGTAACCTGACATCTCTACAAGTAGGAGAGTAGTCTGATCTGATGATGTGACCCTGATACTTTTAGATAGGAAAGGCAAATAGGTGAAAAGTGGTGGAGAAAATTAAATCTTTCTGAACTGCTTCAAAACCATAAACTCTTTCAATGTAACAGGATAGGAAAACAAACAAACAAACATGAAAAAGCAAACATGAAAGAAACATAGTAGAAATCAACTCAAAAACCAACCAAACAAACAAAAAATAATGTTGTGTTTTGCAACAAGTCTAGCCTGGAATTTCCCATGGCAGAAGAGTACATGTGACATTTCCATAACTGTTACAATGACCTGTGAGTATTGTGAGTAGTGTGAGAATGTGAGTACTGAATTGTCATCTGATGCTAATGGGTAGAAATATCTTTTTATTATTATAATTTTTATTTTATTTTTTATTACTCCTAAATTAAATCGGAAAACAAACTTGTGTGGCAACAACACCCTAAGATGTTCTTACATTCTTAGACTTTTCTGTATGAATAAATAAATAAGCAAACATTAAATAAATAACTAAATAAATATAGGTGCACATTTTCTATTCCAATGAAGCAAGTAACATTTCAACTTCAGCAAGTATGAATACTCTCAGCACCACCTTGCCAATCAGACCAGCAACTTGTTTTTCTGTTTTCTGACAGGGATACATTTTGTCTGAAGTTATTCTTGCCCATACTTTTTACTTTTTATCAGTTGGGAATAAAAGGTAACATCACTTCTGCTCCTAAATGAAAGCAGCACATAAGTAGGAAGCTTTGGTCTACCTACTACTTCTGTTAACCACTGCAGGAACACAGTGTACTATTGTTTCTCTATGTTGTTATGTATGCTAAGATTCCCTGCCAGGAGAGCTAATGTATTTATATTTTCTTAGTGAAGTGTCTGGATAGCCAGGTGCCACTGTATAGCAGAAAACAATTAAGATTCAGCAATGACATTTACATACATGCTTCTGGCCACTGCTAATTTAAATGTATTAAATTTAGACTTATGATGCTGCTGCACAGAGAGAAATTAGATACTAAAAGAAGCACTTTCAAGAAGAATAAACATTTGTCATTATATCTGCTCATAAAAGTGGAAAAGAAAAATAATGAAGAGGTCCTAGCACAAAAGTCCTTGTTCATGTCAAAAGAATGGAAGGAAACATTCAGTTATGCTAGATATCACATGAGACACTGATATTATAGCTTGTTTGAAAAATTAAAATAAAAAGAGAGTACCTTAAATCCTGCATGAGTAATCACAGAAATAATACATTAGTGATCATTTCCAGCTAATGAATATTTGCATGACATTTGTGATTTTTGAAAATGGAAAAATGGGAAAATACTGCCCAAGTTCTTCATATAATCGTAAAATCTTAACTACTGGTCTTATACTGGTTTGGGGTTGGAAGGGACATTCATCATTTAGCTCTTATCCTCATGCCATGGACAAGGACACCTTGCACTAGACCAACTTGCTCAAGGCCCCATCCAACCTGGCCTTGAACATTTCCAGGGTGTCCACAACTTCTCTGGACAACCTGTTCCAGTGCCTTACCATCCTCTGAGTAAATAATTTCTTCTGAATGTCTAATCTAAATGTAAACTCTTTTGATTTAAAACTGTTAACACTCACTGATAAAGTGTTGCTCCCTTGTAAGTCCCCATTAAATACTGGAAGGTCTACCTGTTCTTTAAGGTCTCCCTGGAGCTTTCTTTTCTCTAGGCTAAACAACCCCAGCTCCCTCAGACTGTCTTCACTGGAGAGATACTCTAGCCCTCTGATCTTTCTGGCCCTCCTCTGGATCCACTCTAACAGATCCATGTCTTTCTTATGTCGGAGGCCCCAGAGCTGAATGCAGTGCTCCAGATGGCATCTCACAAGAGTGGAGTGGAGGGGGAGAATCACCACCTTGAACGTGCTGGCCATGCTACTTTTGATGCAGCCAAGGATTCAGTTTACTTTCTGGGCTGTAAGAGCATGTTGCGGACTCATGCCCAGTTTTTTTTTTTGTTGTTGTTTTTTTTTTGTCTACCAGTAGTGGATGAATTTCAAAAGTATAAATTAAATTAAAAAGGAAAAAAAAAAAAAAGTAAGGATATGACAT